AATTTAAAGATCTATTCTATTCACAGATAACATTTCTTGATACTTTAAGATCATAAATCCTTCGTATTTAATCTTAAATTGAACAATTGAAAATAACTGAAATTTGTTTTGTGACTAAATGATTTTGAACTTAAACTTAATTTTAAGCATGCTGTTTATTTTCTTTTAAACAATTTTGAAATATGAATATGCATGTGTGGGAATAATTCTGAAAAATAGAAATGAGGAACTGCTAGGCTAGTCACATATCAAAATGCATTACAAATCAAAGCAATTATATTGTGTGTCAAATGATACATGAATAAAGAGATCAGTGAAAAGAATAGAGTCCTCAATTGGATCCAAATACATATGGGATTTTAGAATACAACAGTCAGGATTTCAAATCAATGGCAGAAAAGATAATTAAGCAACTATAAATAAAAAAGTGAAATTTAGAAACACAACTAAAATTCAATCCCTATTTAACTCCTATAACAAATAAATCCTTGATGGATTAAAAGTTTTATGTAAGTTAAAGGACCAAAAATATGCTTTAAGAACTAAGTGCTAATAACAGGTGAGGAATATTTTAGTAAAAGTGAAGCAGAAAAGGTCTGTTTTTAGCAAGATACAAAATGAACAAGAAATATTAAATATAAAATGTAAAAAATGTTTTTACATGCCAAAAGCACTTTAAATAGTAAAAAAAAGACATCACAAACTGGAATAATAATAATTATGTATACATTAATAAAGGGATAATTTCTTTAGTATAAACTATCTCCTAAAAATCCATAGAGATAACATCAACAATTGAAATAGAAAAGATATTAATAGACAATTTGTAAAAAACAGAAAATGTGAAAAGATGCTCAAGCACAACTACATCAAAAGGTTTTGGATTAAAGTATAAAATGAAATAAAATAATATGAATCAGATTGCTGAATGCCATTTTTATAAGGTCCTGGTTATAGAGAATGTAGATAGAAGTACTTTCCCAGACTGTGGGTAGGAGTGTAGGTGTTAATACACTCTCAGAGATGGCCATTGGGCAATAACTATGAATATCAACATTTAAAAAAAATAGACTATCTGACCATTGATTTAAATACATATATCAACAATTCCAGGAATGCATCTTTGCACTTAATCTAAACAAATATTTATTGCAATAGCATATGTTATAGAAAGTTTAGAAACAAATATACAGGAAAGGATACATTAATTTTGCTGTGTCTTTTTTAAGAGAGTATCATGCAGCATCAGAAAAAGCAAAAGTTGGATTTATATTGACTGCTATACAAACATCTTCAGGATATGCTGGTAAAGTACACATTAACATCCACAGAAAAAAAGACACATGTATATTTGAATATACTTGCATCTGCAATTATTACCTGATCAAGCTTAAGAAACAGAGTAGTGACTGTCTTGGGGAAGAAGACTGAAGACAATGCTGAGATATAAATAGGAAGTTTATTCTACACTTCATTCCATTTTGTAAGGTTTTTATTTTTACTATTTATTCTTACCAATTACACATCAATTTTTCTTTAAAAAGGAGAAATATTACACTAAAAACTGTATACAATGCCACTGAAATTTAGTAAAGAAGAAGGCCTATACAGCATTAAATATTTTAAACAGAATAATAAAAAGAATTGTGACAAAAAATCTAAAAATAATACTGCCTCAGTTAAAAGGAAAAAGATAAATGTACAAATTGATTATAATAGTGTATCTACATAAAAATTTCCTCAGAATGCATTGTACATTATTGATTCCCTGCTATATAGGCATTAGAACTTTCTAGATGAAGTGACATGCAGGACAATATAACTTACATTTTAGCAGGGAAGAAATTTATTAATACCACAAACACACAGGTCATTCTCTAATTGTAACTATAAATTCTTTGAAGAAATGGAAGCCAGCATCAAATGTAAGATTTCTGCATTTCAAATAAATGGACCCTTAATGTCAAATGACTCTCTTCACCATGAGTGACGTACTTAATAATTACCAGATATTATGTCTCTTTTTCAGAGCTTCTTCATAGCATTTGTCATCTCTGAATTTCTCAGAGTATAGATTAGTGGGTTCATCATGGGATTTACAACTGTATAAAATACACTCAGTGATTTGTCAATGGGAAAGGTCTTAACAGGTCTTACATACATGAAAATACAGGGAACAAAGAAGACCACCACATTGATATGGGAACCACAGGTGTGGAGGGCTTTCCTACTCCCTTCCTGACAAAGGTTCTTGAGGGAGTGCAAGATGACACCATAAGAGATGAGTAGGAGCAGAAACACAATAGAGCAGATCAGCCCTCCATGGGCCACCACTAAAAGGCCAATGACATATGTGTCAGCAAAGACAAGTTCCAATAGGGGGTACATGTTATAGATGAAGTGGTCAGTGATATTGGGGCCACAGAATGGGAGCTCATAAATAGTGCTAAGTTGAATTATGGAAGGCAGGAAACCTCCAACCCAGGACACTACCAGCAGCACAACACACACCCATTGCCTCATGATAACCAAATAATGCAATAGCTTGCAGATGGCCACATAGCAGTCATAGGCCATCGCTAACAGAAGAAAGATCTCTGATCCACCAAATAAATGCTCTGTAAAGAGCTGAGTCATACGTGATTGGGAGGATATAGTATTTGTCTCAAAGAACAAGTCTGAAATCTGGGGGTAATGACTGAGGAAAAAGTGGCATCCATAAATGATAAGCTAGCAAGAAAAAAGTACATAGGTGAGTTCAGGGTCTTACTGAAAGTTATAGTCACTATAATGAGCAGGTTGCCCACCATAGTCAAAATACAGAAGAGCAAGAACATAACAAAAAAGAGTTTCTGTTCCTTTGGATTCTGTGTGAGGCCCAAGAGGACAAAGTAAGTCACATTTTTCCTTTGATTCATTATGCTTTACAGGTGTGATTTCAGATATTTGAAGCATTTTACCTATAAAACAAAGAATAAGATCTTTAAAAGTATGAGTTTAATCCTTATTATTCATTCAATCAAAAAATGCCTTATGGATTATCTGTGTCAAAATAACCTGTCACAGATACTGAGATCATCATGTGGAATAAAACATGGCTCCCTTAATCTCAGTGATTTGCTATATAATGAAGGGATTAGACAATTAAAGAACAATTTTAAAGTATCATTGTAAATACACTCATCATGTGCTAGGGAACACCTAATCTGGAAATCTGGGAACTCTTCCCAAAAGAAACAATACTTTAGCTGAGCTTTAAAGGTGAAATGAGAGAACAAGAGAGTATGGAGAGAAGATGCACCATGTATAAAGCCAGAAATGTGTGATACTGAGGACTCACTTAAGATAATTTAAATATTCAAAATGAGTAGAAGAAATTATGAATATAAGTCTATAGATCAATGGTCAGTGTATTAGTTGCTAGGGATGCCTAGCAACTTTAGAACAAGGATCCATTTCCTATAACATGTTCCCATTTCCATACAAGACCTCAGTAAGAAGTATGTTGGCATTTACATTTCTTGCAATTATGTTCATAATGATAAACTTGTTCTCTAAGACAACATATGCCTTCTCTAGAGTGCTTCCTGTTCCCTTCTGAGCTCTTATAACAATGACCTTTCCATGTCAACATTTCTACAAACAGTTTAAGTCGGTCAAGGCTTTTTTTTACCATGCACCCCAAAACTCTTCTAGCATTTACTCATTACCAATACCAAAGCCATGTCCACACTTTTTGGTACTTATTACAGCACCACCCCATTTCTCAGCACCAAAAGTTACATTCATTTGCTACAGCTGCCATAAATACTTAACGCAAACTGGGTAGCTTAAAGAAAAGAAATTTGTTATTCAAAATTGAATTCTGAAATTCAAAATTGAGGTGTAGACAGTGTTGATTCCTTCTGAAATTTTTAAGGGAAGGAGCCATTCCAAACCTCTTTCCTTGATTTGTACATGGCTGTATTCATGTTTACATGGTGCTCCCAGGGTTTATGTGCCTGTATCCAAATTTCACCTTCTAACAAAGACATCAGGCATGATGGTTTATGGCCCACACTAACGATCTTATTTAACTTGATTATGTCTGTCAAGAACCCACCCCAGAGAAGATCACATTCTGCAGTACTGGAGACAGACTTGGGTGGACACAAGAGAACCATAACTGTGTTGTCTGATAGGAGGTGACTAGAAACAATCACTTTCTAGATATTCTCCAGCTCACTGAAATCTCCTTCTTAGCATCTTTGGATCCTCCTCTGAACTAAAAATGCCAATGCACTTTAAAATTATGTACATTCTGCCCCATCTCTGCCCTAATTTTAAATAGCAAAATTTAATTGACATCTCTATTTGATATCAATTTAGTATTTACAAAACTAAATATGTAATTACCCACATTTAACCTAGGTGTTCCTTCCTAGGTGTTCCCTAACTAAATAGTACTATCTTTCGTGCTGTTATTCAGACCAAGTATCTGACAGTGTCCTTCAATCTTTTTTCCTTTCATATTACTTAACAATATTTTAAAAAATCCTATTGATGTTCCCCTTAAAATATATTGCAGATTTTATCATTGCCACTATATCCATTATATTACCTCCCTGGTCTACTACAATAGCCCCTGTCAGGTTTCTCTGCTTCCACTTTGCTTGAGCAATCTGTTTTCCTGAGGCAGCCAAAAATATGCTCTTTATTATTCATATCACATCACTCCCCTGTTCAAAATCCCGATAGTGGATTCCTATCACATACTCAATAAAATCTAATCTCCCTACTTTGGACTACAAGACCCAAGACAATTTGGAATCAGGCTACCTCTCCAAATTCCATACCTGCTTATCCATGTTCACTCTGCTCAAGACTTTATACTCTTCCTCAAATACCCAAAATGTTTTTTTATCTCCTTATTTCCATCTATTTTTTTATAGATGTTAATTTCAGAGATCTGAGGCAATACTTTAAAATAATGGGAAATATTGTGGAAAGGTGTATTTAAATTCTTTTTACTTTTATTTATTTATTTCATTATTATTTATTTATTTTGGTATCATTAATCTATAATTACATCAGGAACATTATGTTTACTAGACTCCCTCCATCACCAAGTTCCCCCCAAATACCCCATTACAGTCACTATCCATCAGTGTAGTAAGATGCTGTAGAATCACTACCTGTCCTCTCCATGCTTTACAGCCTTCCCCATGCTCCTCCCCCACATTATGCATGCTAATCGTAATGCCCCCTTTCTTTCCCCCCTTATCCTCCCTTCCCACCCATCCTCCCTGGTCCCTTTCCCTTAACTGTTGGTCCATTCTTGGTTTCTGTGAGTCTGCTGCTGTTCTGCTCCTTCAGTTTTTTCTTTGTTCTTATACTCCACAGATGAGTGAAATCATTTGGTACTTTTCTTTCTCCATCTGGCTTATTTCACTGAATGCAATACCCTCTAGCTCCATCCATGCTGTTGCAAATGATAGGATTTGTTTTCTTAAGGCTGAATAATATTCCATTGTGTATATGTACCACATCTTCTTTATCTATTCCTCTACTGATGGACACTTAGGTTGCTTCCATTTCTTGGCTATTATGAATAGTGCTGCGTTAAACATAGGGGTGCATATGTCTTTTTCAAACTGGGCTGCTGCATTCTTAAAGTAAATTCTTAGGAGTAGAATTCCTGGGTCAAATGGTATTTCTATTTTGAGTTTTTTGATGAATCTCCATACTGCTTTCCACAATGGTTGAACTAATTTACATTCCCACCAGCAGTATAGGAGGGTTCCCCTTTCTCCATATCCTCACTAACATTTGCTGTTGTTTGACTTTTGGATGGTGGCAGTCCTTACTGGTATGAGGTGATATGTCATTGTGGTTTTAATTTGCATTTCTCTGATGACTAGTGATGTGTCTATTAGCCATCTGAATTTCTAGGTGTATTTAACTTTAATCCTTTATTTATTCATTCAACCAACAAATGTTTATAGAGTATTTGCATTATGTCATGTCTTTCAGATAAAGTAGACTTCCAGCATCACAGAGTGGCCATTACACACTGAGGCTCAGGGTCTATGCCAGGGGTCATGTCATCAGAAGACAGAAAAGGTGCTGGCAACTGAGGAATCACTTTCTCACCACCAATCTCCCATTTTCCCAGTTAAGTTTACTTCTTGAGATTATAGTTGATTTCATTTTAAACTGTTAAAATTTATTCATGATAAGTATCATATAAATCATGACCAGAAACTTTCTAATTTTTTCTACTTAATGATATTAACTTTTCCATATTGAACTTCCCTTGAGGAAGCTCCATTTGGATGGATGTTTATCTCATAAATTTCTCTCTCCTAGTGAAGAGACTTAATTTACATACCATGAAAGCCTAAAAACCTTACTATATTGGATTTTAAACCATATTGTTGATATGCATGTAGAATCAAAGAACGTTTTGTAACTCAAAGTGTATATAGCATGAATGTTATAGAGTTTGTATGATATACATATATATACCATTCCATTAATACATCACATTTAATCTTTAAAATAAAAAGTATTGTTATCCTAATCTTTTAGTTGAAGAAACTGAGGTTAGTAGTATAGAATTAAGTTTCCCAAAGTTACATATTTTTGTGACAGTACTTGAGTTGCAATCTAAGTTGATTGACTTCAAATTCCCTGTGCTGTAAGCAGAATTTTAAAATTACTTTCAATTCATATAAACTCAAGTGATATAATTTTCTAAGTAATAAGTAAATTTACATGACTTCAAAGCCTGATTTCAACTATTAACTGTTAAAGTAATACCTTTTGAAAGCTTTTTCCCAATTTGAAGAACTTTTAACTTCACTCAAAAGGAGTTTGAAATTACTTTAACCTATAATCCTCACAGAGAACAAAAGGCTTCATTATTCCTATATATTTGATATCCTGTGCCTATGTCTGCCCAATTTCGTATGGTATCTTCTAAAGACTTCAGAAAATCTTTACTTGTTTTGTAGATTTATTTCAAAGGAATTCAATGAGGCAAACAGAAAAACAAAAAATTTCCCATCTTAGAATAATTTATCACAAACGTAAAGAAATTTCATGTTTATACAAGAAGTGAGCAACTAGCCATTTGGTCAAGAAAACTTTTCTCTCATACCTTTTTTCTAGTGAGTTCAATAGCAAATAACTGCCACTGGAATGTTTAGTCCATCTTACTCTATTGTGTTGGTATGGTCAAATAGTTATATTTGATATTTCGAGAGAACATCCTTGTGCCTTTTTAAAAATCATGCTTTAAGCCCAATAAGGCATCTCCTGAAGTAACTATATCTCTTCTTTAAAGGACAGCATCTTCTATCCAACAGGGGCAAAAGGCATGGCTGATTTTATACCTTCTAACATTGATCATAAAGTCCTACCATTGGAATGTGTCCAAGACTGATTCTTGCTTAATTAAATTCACTGGGATTTTCCACAAAATCTTAAAAGAACATTTATAAGTAAAAATGAAAAAGCTGTTAGATCAATCATGTGACTACAGTAATGAAGATGTGGCAGAGATAAAAATCGCCTCAAAACCATCCATTATGGATTTATTGCCAGTTGAGAATAAAATATCAGTCCTGTCATTTTGTTCAAATAAAGATGAATTATCAGTGATTTCCCTAGTTTGCCACAGCAAGATTTTCTTTCCTTTTATCTAAAACTTAATTTTTTCTGCCTATAAGTGTGAGGCAGTATATGTCAAAGTTTAATCTCCAGTTTAGGTGTAACAACTTAACAAAGTAATTATAATCTGTGATCACTGTTAATAAGACAACAAGTAGGATACCAGAACAGAATGCAAAGACATAATACTATGAATAAAGTCATCAGAGAAGCCCCTTTTAAAATGTGATAATTAAGGTGAAATCCAAAGTATGAGGAGTTACCA